CTATATCATAACTGAGAAATTTCTGAGCATAGAAATAGTAAATTGTTTATAATTTAAAACTTAATCAGCACTTACCTGGTAGTCGGCGAGGAGTGAGCATGACGTGTTCGGGTTTTTCTAAAAATTTCTGACTTACTGAAGTATTCAGATACACAAAAATGTGCTCTGATACCAACTTAACACCCCGCCTTTCCATAAATATCAGAGCACATTTTTCGCAAATTCTTTTCTTAATAAAACATGTTCATTTGTGAAATCCTTTTCGGGATGCTACTAAAAATCATTCATTGCTTGGGAAATCCGTTACCTTTATTTAAATTTAACTTTGAAGAATAAACGTATTATTTTAGATCAACTAGCATGTAATACTTTATAAAGAAAATCGGTCTCATAAATCAGTTTACAAATAAAACTGACATGCTAGTTGAAATATCGTAAAGTGACAGCGGAAGTCATACGTGGCAAAACATAACTGTACAATAATGTACAATGGCTACTAGCCATGTCCCAAACAGTTCCGTCATCTCACTCCTCCGTCCCGACTTCATGATCTGAAAAACATGATAATAGTGGGAGCGTGAGTACTAAAAACACTGTACTCCGCAGAAACTCATACTAAAGTAAACAGTGACAATAATTACAATAACATGATCCTGGCATATACATGAACTGAACTAAACATAGCATGATACCGGTAACCGTTGCCTCATAACCGTTGCCTCATCTGCCAGCATAAAAATGTCGGACACCATGTGCACACTCTAGTGGGCAGACTAAGGCCACTAGAACCCAGAATGGGCCGGTGGCCATTCCAAGCGGAAACATGACATGATGATACATACCTCAAACATGGTAGAATAATTATAGTCAATGTAATACCCAGTCTGAGTCCCCACCCGAACTGATGATTGAAAATGTAAGTGCTGATATCTGGATCCTGAACAAACTGAAAATAGTATAAACAATTACTAAATACTATGCTCAGACTGATAATAATAACTGTTTAATATGTTAAGATGCTCTACTGGACTTTAACATGATATCTGGACTTAACCGGTATAACCAGAACTGAATAAACTCGGAACTGAACAGACATGAATTTACTGAACTGGACTGGACTTGAAAATTAACTGAAAACAGGACTGAAATACTGTACTAGACTCGGACCGGATCAGTAAATATGAAACAGCTTAAAAATCTGGTCTAAACCGGCCGGTTCATTTTCTGGCCGAACCGCCGGCTCGCTGCGGCCGGGCGGTCGGCTGCTGGCTG